TGACCAGAAAAATGAACGACCAAGTTCGCTGTGGATCGGAGTGAGTTCAACATGAGGCATTTTACCGCCTTTAAGCTAACAAGCAGCTTCACTATTTGTCGCCTCACATGTCAAGTTTGTGCCACGTTATCTAGAGAATCATGCAGAGTGTTAATGTCGATCCACTTCGTGGATGCGTCAGCGGAAAGCTTTCGCTACATTCAGGCAACCAGCTACCATTTATAAACACTGCGGAATCCGTGACTGGTGACGAAGACCGAAGTTTAAAGTGTCTATAGATTCCACCCGATGTGTTTTGTTGTCTGCATAGTAATAAATACTTAGACTGTCCATCTGGAAAACACGGTAACTATGATTTCTGTTTCGAGAGGTTAACCCCTCGGGGGTGGGTGGGGTGGTGGCATGGGGGTGGAGCATCCGGATATCAAGTGCTTTCCTCTAAACCGGGTTGTATCATCGTTTATTTTCGATCTTGTTCAACTTTATCTGACTGTGTGCTAGTTAGTGGACCGGTGGGGCCTTCCGTATTATTTACTGTCCATGATATGGTTTTATGCCCCATGGAAAAAGTATTGCACACTCCCAACCTAGATTTTTGGATTAGCTCCCATGCCACATGCATTATCATCACCTTTTTGAGAATCTAGACTGCAACTAAATGGGAAGAGATTTCAGTTTTCAATTTTAACGAAAATAAGTCAAATAAATCAAAAAACGGAATTTTTATCACGAAAATTATGGCACCCCATGGAACTCACCCATTGAAGCCACCTTATTATTCTCTATAAGATTTAAAATGAATTCCGGATCAATCTCATTTCACTCTCTAATCAGAGATGCTTTTTGATTTAAACTCTGGAGTGTTGGTGCACCATTCGGAAAAGAATAGCTCGAATGTTGGGCTTATATCTGGACTGTACGCGGATCACATGATTGTTTTGATGCCAAAACATAATAACTAGCACTTTCAAAGAGAGAATTCATGGTGTATAGAACAAGTGCAGCGTGAACTGGTTGAGTTTCATTAGCAGTGCGAATCCTCACAGATAGAACGCTAGCATACTACCCACTTGGCCACCATGCAGCTGATTAGACCGTTTTTCATTTTCCATTTACACGATAAAGCACAACCCGTCTTTGCGGATGTCACGTCTCTCTCATCTCAGCACTACCCTCTGGAGTAGCATGTTTGCGTTCTGCCTGTGAGGTCACGGGTTCGATCCCCGGTTGGCTCGATGAATTCGAATTGCTGATGAGACCCAACCAGTTCACGGTTCATTTGCTCCATACACGAGGAATTCCCTCTTTGAAATTGAATCAAATCCTCCATTACTATCATGTAACTAGCACTTTGTTAGCTACGAGTAATGAACTACGGTGATACCATGCCATTGCTAGCATAATGTGCAGATTTAAAAGCGATTCCAATCTGTTTCTCATCACAAGCTCGGATGGTGACATACGTGTCATCATTTGTGCGGAGGGACGGCAAACAGACAGTCAAAAGACACTTATTCAGTCAGACTTGAATGTCACCGCTGAGTTTTTGAATGCTTTGTGTTACAGTCTGGGCCGTTCTTTCCGTTAAGCCACTGAGATGAAATTGGGGAGGAATAATGTTGAAAATAAACCCCGTTGTTTTGTACGATCAAACGGAAGTATGGCCTTGTGAAAGAAGGACTATTGTTACACGAAGTAGCACTCGGAATGCGGTACATATACAGAACAACATCTAGAACAACATCTAAAGGATGTCGGTGGTTATTTAACTGGTGGAATTCACAACGTCTCGGGTCTCTAAGTATTTCGTATAAAAACAAGTTTCCGTGTGTGAAAGAAAGTGAGCTAAATAAACTGCAATATATAATGGTATCAAATTTCGAAATATTCCCAATACTCGCATTTAGAACACAATTTCAGGCGAACAATTGTTTTCAATAACTCATAATCCTGCCATTACAGTTTAACCGGTCCAAATCAGTTAGAATGCGTACGTTGGCCATAGCCGAGGCTATCTGTTTTAAGCATTTGACCCCCGAACTATGTGCGCAGAAACGTCTTATCCAAGCACTCCATCTCCCCCGAAGGCTTCGCGAACCCACTCCTCCCCCATGCCTCCCTTTTCCACATACACAAACATTCTCACACAACAACACCAATCCCTCAGAACTGGGTCACACGACCGTCGTGACACAACTGCAAGCCCCGGAAGCACAGATTTGAGAATGCGGTATGCAACACACACACACACACGCACAAACACAGACACACATACACATTTTATTGTTCTCCTCCCAACCCCTAGGATTTTTCCCCATATAAACTGTAGTGGTATTATTATGAATTATTGAAAACAATTTTTCGCCTGAAATTGTGTTCTATATAATGGTATATTGCGTTCACACTAGAACAACAAAGGGGCCAGCCCTGACTCCAAAGCTATTCAACAATCGTCTTTCGTCTTTCTTGTTCTTTCGGAATATTTCTGGAATCCCTTGTGCGATGCACCTTTGATTTCATAGATCTTTTTGTGGGATAGAAGGACGAGATGTGGGAGCCACTGGAGATACAGACTACTGATTAGGTTGGTTTGATCTCTGATGACTCATCGAAGAGTGCATTCATTCGAATACATTCCGGTACTGGCTGCAATCTGTTGGTAAGAATGTGTAAAACTAACGCTTTCGAGGGCGCGAAACGAAGGACCTGATACCGAATACTCCGATACTCTTGATCCATGAATGCACGAATGCAGTTTCAGTTAGGGATATAGTTAGACAACGAAAGTTTCAATCTCAAATGCTGAAGCAATTCTGTCGAAAGTCTGTTTTTCCGGCCATGATCAATCAATGCAGGTTTAGATGGTCTAAGCACGCTCCGTGTGTGTCCTTGTTGCCCTGCTACTCACCAATTACAAATTGGTGTGATCGAACACATTTAATACCGCCTCACCCGTACTTTCACCTTTGATCTGGGAGTCCTGTTTGACGCAAAACATGGTTTGTTTTACCAGGTAAATCTTGCCTGTTTGCGTTTGACCGCGGAACTGTCACTTGTTTTTGGTGAGTTACGCGGTCTCGCTGTATGTGTGAACCTTTCCCTGCGGGTCTCGCCCTATAAACCGTCGGTCACACATTGTCCGTCTTCTTACTCGTTCGAAGTAATTGTCGTGTTGCTCTTCAAAGTATTTGCAAGCGTTGAGTTAATTCACCTTTAGTTACCATAGATAGCGCCAGCCATCTAAAGATCTGCTGCTCCTTTGAATGGGAAAGATTTGTTTTGTGATTTATGGTAGATTAATACAATTATCGACGAATCATAACGTCACAAAAACTCTCACAGTGAGACAGTGTGTACTATAGAAAGTAAATTTTAGAGATATTTTGAATCTCGAAGCCACAATAGAGTCAGTGAAATGTGCTATTCATGAGTAACTTCAATGTACACACCACACTGCTCGATGTAACTTTTGTACGCGAAGCTTTGATAGCCGTCATCTCTGTCTATGTATAATATTACTTTGAGGTTTTGTTTATGATTGTTTGATTATCCTTATCTGGAACTCACGTGATGCAAGGCATTGGGAAATGCCCTCTAAAAAATACTGAAGAATCACGAATACTGACAAAAAATCAATATTATTTCCTTTCAAATTTTAGAGAAACCGACTTAAAGCAATGTTTTACCAGTGTGCTCCATTTTATATTTTGAACTTTGAGATTTTTGAGGATATCTAATTAGGAGAATTCGATTGCACTGATTATTTCCAGAGTTATACGGGAATCTGTCCATACGAATACCTTTCTGTTCTGTTAACGTTTTTCCTTGTCATTCTAGTATACGGTGCTATCAGCCATAATGAATTTCGGTTTCTAGAACAGATATAGGCTTTCACTACTCCCACCCTTTTGTATGGAGTCGATCGCACCGCACTTACGGACAAAGAATGAGTACGTATGCGGATACTACTTCTAAACTAATGAATCACCTCGTTCAGTTTATTGCTTAAATTGAAATCTGAAAAATGTAACTCATCAGAGAAGACAACCTAGATAAATACTTCTGCGATATCTATTCGATCTATACTGGGATAAAAACTGACATCAATGGTTATGTGAAATGTCGATAGTATTGGTTAAACATAGTTTCGATTCAAAAAAGTGGTTCAAACATTTCCTTTGAAGTGTTCCTTAATTAAACTATTTTTTTAATTGTTATGATTAAAACAATTAAGTTATTTGAACAACCTGGAGCTATGGACTTCATGGGGGGGGGGGAGGCGGAACTAGGTACGCAAGTCTTCCAACTGTGGGAGCTTCGAATCCAGTTGCATTTATCTATTCCATCAACGGTCGCTTTCCAATATGGCTGAGATTATTGATGCAACTGGATTTAGTTTAGTAGGTGCAAAATCGGTCATATAAAGACTACTCTATTCTGTTACCAAAAGAGACGAACATCTAGTTAAATAGTAGTGGGATTGAAATAAATAACATTATTATTAGCGAACATACTCCTACATATTTCTTATGTATTTCGTTAAACGCAGAACCTCAAAAATCGAGGGTTTTGGATGCGATGAACATCAGAACACATGCAAACCCATCCAATTCACATCAAAATAAAACTGAGACCAAGTAGGCGTTCGCAGGCTTTTCAGCATTTTTCACTAACGAAGACTCTTGGTCAAAGGGTTAACGGTTGAATTGGACTTTGAAGTACATAACCCTATAATTTAGACAAAAATTAGCTACCAAATTTTACATTCCTACTTCTTACCTGTACAACATCAAGAATGTAATGATCATCAGCACGCATCGTAATACACCAGGAAAAAATTATCCAATACAGAGAAGAAAAACGTAGAAAGGGATCCAATTAACGGGAAAAGTATAAACAAAAACGCTTAATATTAAACAAGAACAAAATCCAAGACAGAGAGTGTTTCTAGCGAAGGCGAATTTTCTCAAGCATATCAGAAACTAATGGGGCTAACTCACCTGAATCCTCCATTATCCGGATGCGGGTGACAACAATGACAGTCCTTAAATAGTCTACATTGTCATGGAAAAAAACAACATTGGACAAACATTTCATTCCAAAGATTTTGGTAAAAATATATCTGTACTTTCTTAGAGCAATTTTTGGAACAAACAACTTGCTTTGTTTTAGTCGCTAAATTTCTAAGGACGCTCAATCTTCGCGCGCATTTTGTATTGTCCAAGGACACGCAAACGAAGTTAGTTACAGACAGTTTCGTTAAAACCAAGCCATTGAGCACTCATTCACATACTTTTTTACGTTTGAAATGCATACATTTTTGAGGCACCTTTCTTCAGTCAGTATACATAAGTTAATCAGCGTTTTTATATCAAGTATCAAGAAAATTTTGAATTGAATGTTGTGCCATGGCGGCTCGAAATTCTGAGTGATTTTCCAAATTGGAAAAGTACATTAAATTGTCATTTAGCCCTCTCTCATCCTGTCTGCAGGCGGTTCCAGCCCACACCTAGACTCGTTCAAACTTTTTGTCCAGTACTAGTGAAGTATCAGTAGATATTTCACTCAAACAACTTTCGGAGTAGTTTTACGTTTATCAGTATCGTTCGTGATCTGTCAAAGATCAAAACCGTTTTACCTGGCAGTTTTTCTGTGCGCACTTTAGTGTTTCGCAGGTCAAAGGCGTTTTAGTTTTGAGTTTGATAAAGCGTATTTTTTATTTTTTTTTTACGTATTTGGTTTCATCTGTGTCTAATTCTACAGAATCAGAGAACGGTTGATTTAGTCATTTCTTGTTTGACTTGTAATGACACAATCAAACGGTTCCAACACGTGTGGGGCCAGTAGTTGCGCGGAGTATGTCGCCGACGGGATACAATGCNCACCAGCGATGTTCGCAAATGAGCAAAAAGGAGTATCAGCTCCACATGGAGCACAAGTCCTTTAAGTGGGTTTGCAAACACTGCACAACACTAGCAGAGGAGTTCAGGAGACTTCTGAAGGCATCTCTGGCTCCCCTGAATAGGGAGAACAAGGAAAAACCGGAAGGGGTTACTACTGCGTCATTCCCAACTCAAAGTACACAAATAAGGAATGAAGTTAGCCGAGACAAAAAGGTTGGGAAACAAACTAAGAGGCCTTTTCCGGCTAAGAAGTCAGTGGGTAGAGCTGAGGTTCAGCCCAACTATCGGGAAATGATGCAACGAATTGAGCAGTTGAAGAGTGAGCTTAAGCTGCTGAAAAAGAGCAGCGAAGTATCGCTGGGAAGAAATAGGAACTTGCTCCTGCACAATTGCGCAGAGCCAGTTATTAATATGGCGAAGCCGAGGCGAGAATCTGAACATCGCCATGTGCAGAAC